TGGAAAGAAAAGATAAAAATGCTAATAGTTTTAAAAGTGAATTTTTAAAACTTACCAAGAGAATTCATTATTTCCTAAATTTTCTTCTATTTTATTAATAATTTTCAATATTTTAGTAAATACAAAAATTACAATGTGAGAAAGAAAATAGGTAAATGTATCAAAGCCACATTTTAAGAACTTCACAATTTTTTATCCACCCCACCTAAATTTCATTATCTATTGTATTGAAAGAAATTTGTTGGTGTGAATGAAGGGGTGCTTCATAGATTTGATTTCTTCATCGATGTAGTCAGTTGAGCAAAATCTTGAAGCTGTTTCTATAAGGTTTTTTAGTATATTGATTTGTTGTTTGGATTCATGGACAGAATTCCAGGGGGTGTAGAGGCCTGTGTGACTAATTTTATGGTGAATTTTGGTTTTGAACTGTGTTGGATCTAATAATATTGATGTTAAACAAACATAGATATTTGTTATTTGTGTGTTCAGTGTTCAATTTAGTGTTAAGGTGAATGGAGTTTATGTGTTCAAAGAAAGTTTGTATGTGTTGGTAGAAGTGAAACCAGTAAAAGGGTTGTTGACATATCTGTACTGGTATAGAGGAGGATAAAGTGCAGATTGTATGGCTTGTGTTTTGTTCTGGGTCATAAATATGTTGGGGGAGGACATATAAAACACTGTTGCCCATGCTTAAATCATCTCTTTGAAGAAAGTGTTTGTTGTCGAAAATGAAGTTGGTTTATGCTGTTGTGAATTATAAAAGGGAAACAAACAGTGTACTAGGGATATGAATTATTTTGCATATTTTATAGATTATTAGTCATAAAGGTACTATTATATGATGCCTTTCTATTGTGTAGTTTTCCTAAGATGTTAGGGTTAAGCTAATATTGTAATTAGGCCTAATGACTTATCTGACCTATTTCAATTTCCCATGCCTTAAAGGTAAATAGACATAAAAAGCTTGTCTGTTAAACAGTCTGTTCTGTGTAATTTTCTTGTCAAAAAAATGTTGGTGAATCTGCTAGTTTTCTTCCCTGGATGTAATATGTTCTATTACACTCTTTCAGTTATGGTATACTTGACTAGCGTAAAATGCTGACCTATCAAATGATATGACTGCATATAACTGTGTCACATGATTTGTATGTACATATCTGACAGACCCTGAAGATTGGAGTGGAAGCCTTTGACTGAATTTATGTCTGTAAATTATTTTTAAAAATCCCATTGCCCACCTATTTGTAAACTAACAATTGTTGAAAAATTTCCACACAATCACCAGAACAAAAATCTCAAACTCAACTCATAAACAAAACTGACAGTAATATACCAAATACCAACACAACATTACACTGCAGTTTACCATTTATCCCTGACATCAGTTCAAAAATAATCAACACATGGAGAAAACTTGCTATTAAACATAAAATTCCTGCTGACTTCATATTCATCCAAAATCCTGATCCTAAATTAAAATCATTGTAAAATAAAAATTACATAGAATTACACAATACCAATACTACTTATAAAATAACATGCAATTACTGTTCAGAATTCTACATTGGAGAAACCGGAAGAAAATTGGAGATCAGATTCATCAAACACAATAAAACACCCTCTCATGTTTGCAATCATTGTAACATAATAATAATAATAATAAAAACACACACAGTATATCTATACAAAACATTGTAATTGTAAACAAAGAACCAAACAGCAATAAACAAAGAATAAAAGAAGCTATCTTAATCGAAGAAAACAGCCCCACCCTAAATCAACACCTCGAGGTACCAAGATACCTATATTAGACTGTGAAGCAATATCCTGTCATGTGATCTCCTTGTTCTATACTGCATATATATACACTCATATATTTCTGTAAACTACTTGTACCTGAGGATGAAAAAATCTTGTTGAAACGTTCTACATTTATAATAAAGTTTTTCATTACCCAGTCAAGCCGTTTCAAAACTTTTATTTAAACTCTTTATTACAAACATGCTGCTGTATCCTCTGAAATTAGAGGACATGACAAACACAGGGCCCAATAATTTAAACTAATTGGAGAAGAAATAGCCACAGCTTGCTGTAGACTCTTGTAACTGCCTGACAGCTGGCTCGAAAAGAAGACATCGATATGGCACAACATAATAGAGACAGTTCTTCCCAGTGTCTAAAACTTGTAGTTAAGGCAGTACTCTGTCCACCCTGTTTAGAGCATCATCTTGAGGGACATGACTGTGTCACTGACTGTGCTGCTTAGAGAACAGGGCTTTGATATCCTTGACCACTCAGTGGTAGCCATTATGGCTGTACTATAACTTCTGATAGTGTCTGTAGCAAAAGGACTAAGAGTAGTGTTTTGAACTCAATGAGATGTTGCTGTTTCTGCTACTTGTTTCTGGAGAGTCTCAACTACTAAAGTTGGATTACTCTTCTCTGGCAGCTTGTTTGACTTGGCCACATCAAACCATGCTGCCACAAAAATAGCTTGTATCAAAAATAAAATACCCCCTTTACATCCATGTGGTGCTGCATAGGCTAGTTCATGTGTTTTTCCACAAAGATGTGTATGAAAAGTTTCTAACGATTTGCCAATACTATCTTGGGTTATTTTTTTTCACATTGAAATCATATATTATCAACTATAAACCCAAGGGAAGCTGAGCAGGCTCTACAACTAAGAAAGGTCCTAACTGATGCTCTATTCCCTGCTCCTGAGAATACAGCCATAGCTCTTTACATGCATGTTGAAAAGACTTGGTCTAGAAGTGGACTTCTAAATTGTACCTCTTCTTCTCAGGTATTGTTTCTCTTTTCCACTGCAAGTTCTTTGTGAACTCTGAAATGCACTCTTCATCTCAAACAAAATACAAACCCACACAGAACACAGTATGAACACATGTAAAAATAAAAAGAAGAAGCATGTCTGATTCAAATTGTGCAAATAAATACTTGGTCACAGTACCAAAACTGTTACTTAATAACTTCTTCTGAAGTATTCTCAAGTAAAACTTAAAAGTGGCATTTTTGTGTCCACGAAGCCTCAAGATCTAAGTATTTAGAACCTTTTATAAAAGCAATGACACTGTTTTTATACATCTGTTAACTCTTTAACTATGGGCAGATGTGATTCACCTACTATATTACCACCAAAGTAACCATGAGATTAGTCATATTATAACTTTTGATAATGTAAGCGCATCTTCATGAAATTTTGCAGACTATCAGTAAACATTATAAGGCTTTTGTACACATAAAATCAGATTTTTTTGAAGTATTTTAATTAAATATTTGCTTGTGAACTTTTGCTTTCAGAATGTTGATTATCCATCATGCAAAATGTTTTTGATTTTAAGATTAATACATTTCTTCATATTAAAATATTTTAAGTTTTGTTTGCATAATCTCTAAATCCTACTAAATAAATATCAAATGTTTTTTTCAGAAAAATATTACATTTTATTTATTATTTTCTCTACCCTAACTCTATATGGGGTTGATCAATATGACTGATTTCATAACCACATAAATAATTAGAAGATAAATCTAATTTGTTTGTAATTAAGCACAAAGCTATACAATGTGCGATCTTTGTTATGCCCACCACGGGTATCAAAACCTGGTTTCTAGCACTGTAAGTCCGCAAACATACCACTGTGCCACTAGAGAGGGGGGGGGGGCAATTAAATCTAAATTACCATTATTTCTTTCTAGAATGACCACAAATTGTAACACGAAACCACAATTATCTATTCTAACTAGCTTAAAGCTCATAACAGTATACATCTACTTAAATTTATTTATCTTTTTGTTTTATTGGCTTTTGAACCGTATCTAATTAATAATCCCATCATATAAGTTGTAAATCACACAATACATGTGCAGCTCACATTATCATATCGAATAACATAAAACTGGCCTACAAAAGTCTTAGTACTAACATACCAGTATTTTGTAAAACAAAGTCACATTTTAGTTACCATATATCAAATATGTATGTATATATATTACTATTTTCAAATAAATTCTTAAATTTCAGTTATTTTTTGTAAAACATAGAACAGTAATTAAAAAATATATAGAAAACAATGAATTCTACTACTTATGATATTACTAAGTTTTTTGTACTTGTGTGTTGTACTTGCTAAGCCTCAATGAATTTTGCACACGGAGTAAGTAGAAAAATTAATTTTTGTAGACCTTATATATGCATTTTGGAATACCAAAAAATTATAAATTATAATACCAATACTACAAATATCCATTGTAATTTATCAGGCTTCCTAACTAAGTTGTATTTGGGTCTAAAAAATCTCATTTCTGAGTAGAATATCACTTTGATCATAGCACTTCAAACTTTCCAATGGTTATGACTTTCTCCAGATAAACACTTTGGGAAGACTGCCAGGATTGTGTAATTCAAAATAAGCACTTTTTATTAATTATAAACATGTACTTAAGAGAAGTAGGCATAGGTAAACAAGTATTTTCAAATGATGAAGTGGTGGGTTCACTACATATAATGATACCTTAGCAAATAGAAAAGGTAGGAAGTTCCTATTTTATATTTTTGCTTGTCAGTATTAATAATTTGAGTTTCTAATTCATTAAAAACTACAGACATTGTATTGTGGGCAACATAAGGCATAATCTGAGCAGAAAGAGAATGACGATGTACCAAGTGATACACAAATATTGATATTTAGCTTTTTTTTAATATCTACTCTTGAATTAAGAATTTAAGTAATGTATAATATTAAAAATTTGAATTATAAACTATAATTTGATGTTAAGTTTATTGGCATAGGTTCATAAGATAGTATTTTAATAAAATTTATGTAAGTTTACAAAAGGTTATGACATGCTCTTTGACCCCTACTCATATGGAAAGAGTTAATTTAATGCCTTATAACTAAGTTAAAGGCTTCCTGCTCTGAACCTTCATGTTAGTTTACTAACTATATACTAAATATTAAATATCAAATACAACTTACAGATATTCCAAATGAGTAAGACCCAAAAAATCTGCTTTAGTGTAATTGAGGAGAGGATTGTCTTCCAAATCTCTAGACATCAAATGAAAAAAAAATACACATTTACATGCATTGTAGGTCTTTAGAACTAAGCTATGAAAGTTTAGAAAAATCAATTTTCATGCTCAGTCACAACTGTACAGGAGAAAAAAGATAAGAATCATTCAAAAATGTTATGTTCTGAAAAAAGAAAAACTAATATATATATATATAGACACACACACATACATACATACTTAGGCTTGTAAACATTTGTTTTAGATCCTTTTGTCAAGTCCAACTCAACTTTCCAAATCTTGAACGTGAACAGACTAGCAAAATACAAAACATACTTATTGAGATTTAATTGAAGCTTTGCAAATATATGTAACTAACAAAGAAATATTTCATTACAAATGTAATATTCATACCCTATGCCATTTAGAATGCAATATAAGGACTATTAATAAAAAGATATGTTTTAATAAGTAACGAGCTATGCTATCAAATTAAAAAATGAAGGAAGCTAACTCACATTACCCCTACTTTCAATTATAGTCTTATAGCAGTTGTCCATTGAAACAGTTTAGCAGTAATTTTCCTAAAAACAGTGATGAATAAATTTGAAATGTGCAGTCAACAGAGGAAGTCCTATTTTTCGTTATCAGTATGAAAGTTTAAAAATTAAAAAAATTAGAAACAGCATTTTGATATTTTTTTTTATCAATTAACCTTTCAGGAGGTACACAACGTGACAAACAGACATTTGGCTATTATATATATATATATAGAGAGAGAGAGAGAGAGATTTTTTTCCAAGCCTAACCGTAGAGAAATCTTACTTAAATAATATCAAAATATAAATATACATGTGCACATAAACAATGAAAATCAAAATGTATAACCATATGGAAAGTCCTACACCTTTTAGAAGTTTGGATGGCTTTCCTGTTTATGGTCTATTTGAATGGTGGAAAGAAAATTTTGAAGAATAAAGTTGAATAGTATTGGTAATAGAAAGTTCTGACCCGGGTACCCAAGAGTCAATATCTCCTGGGCACCCAAGTACTTATCAGTTTAAAGTCACTGCAAGCTGAAAGACTTGTTAGCCTAGGGTTGGGCTGCTAACATTTGCAGTAGAAATTTGGTAGAATTTGGAAAGCTAAAGTCACAGTGAATGAGATTATGATAGTTTAAAAACATTACCCAAAGTTTATGACTAAAGGTAAAAGTTCTACAAAAATCATGAAACTGAAGTGAAGCATTCATATTTACAGCATAGGCCTAGCCTAGCTTATGGTTGGTTATGTCTACTCCTTGCTGTCATGTTCATTTTATCCTGTGTGTTCAGCATCACTTCTGAATTAACCGTATTTTTCATGTCTTTTTTAATTTTTCCATTCTAGACACAAGCAAGGGTTTGCAGCTTACAGTGTGGTTGTAACTTGCAAGACATAGGTAAATGTGCTTACTGCTTATGTTAGTTACATCTATGGTCCCTCCCTTAGTTGAGAGTCAGATATTTTACAACAACATTCAAATGAGTGTCACAGTCTGATATTATTGTTTGGCCAATCACGTGCTCCCATTGATATAAAGTTTATGTGAATAGGCAGAACAATCCATTATGGTATGGGTTATAGTATAATCCAAACTGTATCAACCAATGGACTTCACAAACATGTTATGAGAGGTGCAATTTTAGAGTCGAGTGTACATTACCCTTGGAGCAGTTTATCAAACTGCATACAGGCTTTGTGCATAACATCACAAGCCTCAGTACACAAGCTGACAACTGTGTAATGTTATATGTGTGGTATGCTGAATCTAGCAAACAACAGCAGTACACTATCACTGGTGTGGATAAGGCTTATGATACTAACAAAGAGAAAGGAATGCATGGAAAACAAACATGAATCAAACCTTTGGTGATTTTCTTTTATTTCTGAACATATATAAAACATATACGACATTCCATTCTCATTATTTACACTTAGATTACCTTGGAAAGTTGGAATGTTGAGAAAAATAATAAAGGAATACATGCTGTTTGATGTTAGTCATTGCTTTGATGGATCTGAGTAGTGATTTTGGAACCAGGGAATAAAATTGTCTGTCGGGTACCCCGGGGTAAATTCTAATGGGTAATAAGCTTAAGATTTAAAAGCTCAAGCATACACTTGTTCCTCAACTAAGAAGTTTTATTTTTGAATTTAGTTTTAAACCTGTAGAATGGCTGTTACAGATGTAGCGTATGCTGTTAATCTAAAGTCCTTTAAATGACTGTTGGATAAGTAGAAAGATGCAAAGGGACATACTTAATTTGATAGATATTTTGGTAGACAAAACATGACCTCAATGGGCCAAATAACCTTCTATCAGCTTAGTATTTTTTGTGAAGCACATTGACTCAAAATATCTGAATGTTATTTGAAAATTTGTACAAATACACATAACAACCCACAAGTATTTTTTATGCAAAGCTTTCATCCATCCATCCATCTATCTATCCATACATGTAAAAGTATATTTGCACAATTTTGCTGAATCAGCTATATGATTTTACTTGACAGAAATATCAGTAAAAACAAAAACAATTATACCACAAAAGATTAAAGATATATTGAAATTTTAACCATATACTTTGAAAAAGGACGTAAATAATTCCATTTTCCAAATGTATATTTTGACAGAAATTGGACTCAGTCAAGCTACCTTAAAAAAAATCTGCAAGTTTTAAACCATCTATAAAGAATAGGCCATGCTGAAAATTTTCTAAATAAAACACTGTTGCTACAATTATTACAGAAGAAAGCTGAAAATATTGTGTATGTATTCTTTGTTTACTTTTTATGTTTGTATGTGTGATGGACATAAAGCATGTTTCATACCAAAATAGAATTAAATATTAATTATACCAGATTTTTTTTATATTGAAGGAGCTAGGGTTAGTGTTTTACAAAATGAAAGTTAGGTCACAGTTTCTTAATGAACTAATTTCCATAAATAATTTCATATACAAATTATCTTCTAAAAAATACATGTACAAGTATAATTTTTTGTCCAAAAATAATTATTTCAATGATTGTGAAAATCATGTGATATCTGATTTTTTTGTTTGGCATATGATGGGATGGCCAGGTTTTTACATTTGTTAATATACGACAACTAATTGTTAAACCTATGATCAGCTTTTTAATTATTTATATTTTAATTACATGTGCCTTAAGACCTGTGATGATTAAAGAAAAAAATTGTTCTAATAATGGGGTTAAAACACTGGTCTAAATCATGAGAATATTTGAAAGGCTCTCCAACAATGGTAACATGAACCAAGACACTGTAGATCCTTAGAAATATGTTGCTTTAACTGTATGCCTTACAACATCAATAATAAAATCACTACAGTCATAATCCATAATCTTTGATGACAACAGATGAGTCCTGAAAATTTGCACGTAAAAACTACTTTTCAAATTCAACTAGCTTTCACCAAAACCTAAAATTACATAAAAATTAATGTTTCAATACATTATGTTTATTGAAGTTCTGTTCTATTTTTGTTATATTATACACATACTAGCCACTTGGCTTCTATTTGTGCAAGCAGGTAATGCCAAGAAGAAATTGAATTGTTTTTATATATAATTTACATAACTGTTTAGCTTTATCTTATGAATTTTTCTAGGTATGTAATATAACAGAAATAGAACAGATGTACTTAAAGGTTTGGTCATTCTATAACTTCACATTAAATTAAAATTACTGGATAATCAGAAAAATTATCAGAACATCATGTTATTGGGGTTTCAAGAAATTATTTGTTGTTTATCAGAAATACTGAACAATAAAAAAATGTATACTTACAAGATAACAAGATTGGTGGTATTCTTGAACAAGTCACTTACATTCATTAGCGTACAGTTCGACAAATCAAGTCTGAAAAAAGTATCAAATAATTTAGCTGTTGGGTTAAATTTAAATGCCTTTCTTTATTTTTATGTTTAGCTTAAATAGTCCTTCCTCTGAAATGCAGTATATATATTTATGTTTAAGTCTACAATAAACATATTTAAGATGGTTATTTTCTTTTAGAAAGAAAAAATATTAATCTTGTTTTTTTATACAGAACAATAACGTTTAATCAACATACAAATATATTCTGCTTACAAAATACTTTATCTTGATACTAAAATTTCACTACATATCCATAAGGTGAAAACTACAAGACATTTTAAAATTTATAATCTTGCTATACTTTTTTACAGGAATTTTGTTTAAAAACGTTTTCTTCACTTTAATAACTTTTTGTCCAGCTTCAATACTATTCCTAAAAGTCAACTGATTGTAGGATAACTTATGTTTTTAGTTTGAAATTCATTAATCAACAGTTTCTTACCCAACAAGCACATTAGCCATAGATGTTTTATTAAAACAACATCTTTCAATATAAGTAAGATTTTCCTCACTGCAGTATTTTCTAACATTTTCTCTGACATAAGACCTTTGACAGTAGTCTGAAAAACTGCAATCTAAAAATGTAGTTTCCTGCAAAGAAGAAAAATTCTGATATTTAGGAACTAAACAAATATATTTCAACTTAAACTAAACACCGACGAGTCGATAGACTTCTGTGACTTTTATTACAGTATATTGCACAATTAAATGTGAAAATAAACTTTGAATCACTTTTTAAAATACAATATTTTTACTTCATTAATTCAGTTATACAATTTTTTATATATATTTTTTAAATTCTTTAAGACAGGGATGTTTCAGCAGATTATATAAGAACTAGAGGTGACTTTATTCATGGTTTGGAATGACAAGTTGCTAACTTGAAAAATGTATCATCTTTTTTTTTTGTAAATGAGGACTAACATTATTAAGCTAAATGGCCTTCAACCAATTCTTTTTGGTACATTCCTATGTTGAATATGAAGGTAACTTTATGCTATTGAAACATCGATCCATATTTCTTCTTTGGCAAACTTATGTCTCTGTTAGAAATATGTG